GATTCATGAACGTTGAATGTAAATTGATTTTAAAGATTCCGTCCAATTATCTTGATTTTAAGCTGATATGCGGCATTTCGCACGACCGTGATTTGGGCGAACTGCCGTGCATCGAAATCGCGTTGAGTTAATCTCTTTGGATTTCGAACTGTAACTTCTCTCCTATTCGGCCGATTTTTACAAATGAGGTCTCTTTTTATTTGTACTTTAACGGAAAGTAAGGAAAAACTCGCAAAATAGACGGAAAACAATTTTTGTGAAAATTTTGTGGATCCTGGCGTCACGGTGAATGGTTAATCGGGCGTGGAAGATAATAGGTTCAACGAGGCGACCCTCTCCTCGCCGTCTTTTATTGCCTTGCTCGAAACCTGACACCCAAAGCTATATCGGGAGATAACTGCAGTGGTTTGAGTGGATTTCTGCAGGGGCCACGGTTAGTACATGGTATAAAGAGTCACGAGGCTCATCACAGATTGCACTTGCAGTGCAAGACGCTCATTGGCTAAACAGTTTTGGCGGGAAAGAAGGTTCTAGAGTTGAGTCCTCCGAGCGTAAGAAAGCTTCTATGAGGTTTTTGTCAAATGAAATGATACGGTTTTGACAGGAAAATGTTCTCAAGGGTTCCCAATTAGCAGTTCAGTCGGTTTTTTGGTAAGAGACCATCAGGGCTTGACAGTATAATGGTTCAAAGACAAGAAAACGGGTCCGAGGAAAAAAATATTTGGACGGCCCGTTGAATAGCATTGGTTGATCGGTGTGCTGTACTATGGTACATCCGAGTGATTTCAAAAAGCGAGCCCTACTGGCACGCTTAAAAAATTCTCAGCGCCAGCGAGCTCATATTTTTGAGATTTTTGCAAAAACCCATTTCATACCCTACGATTTTAGAAAGAGGACGGCATTAAACGTTTTACAAGCGCAATTTGTGCTCCAGATTATGGTGAATATCTCTTTTAAAATTGCTGCTGCCTTAAGACTACTTACACGTGAGATTACACACATACATACATACAAGTCGCTTTACAGCACTCCCTCGCGCTCTACGACTCCTAACCTCCACTGCTCTCTTTCAAACCACAAATCTTGGGGGATTGAGCACCTTAACATTTCTGCTTCAATCCCGTCCCTCCAACCTTTCATTGGGCGCCCTCTGCGCCTCCTCCCAGGAGGAACCCAGTCAAGGACCTTCTTCGGCAACCTGTCTCCTGCCATTCTCTGGACATGACCATACCAGATACACGTGAGATTATCCGGACGTATGTTGTGGCCGTATGCAATTAGCTTAAAGACGCACTTTCTACAAATAATCTTTGAAAGGCGTACTGAACTTTTTCTTTCTTATCATCCCATCATGGACTGTAAGGTTCACATGCTTGAGAATTATGTTCCGTCAGGTGAGGTCAGGTGGTATACTATAAAATAAATGCTGTTCTCAATACTACAATATTGGCCCTCTGAGCCCTTGCTAATATCGTCTTGCTGAATATTTGAAAGACTAAAATTTGCGGTACCAGTCTGGTGGTACCTATTTAAACCAATAATATTTCAAAAATAGTTATGAAAAACATTTAGAAAAAATCACACCAAGAAATTGCGAAACTGTCTATTTGAATACAGGTAAGTTTTGTAAAGCTAGCCACTTCCCTTCTAGTTCATTCTCGCCCTACGATTATTCTAGAGCGGGCCTCTGAGGAAATGGCAGCAGCAATTTGAGGCATTGGACTCTTTGCAATGAGCCACTAACTTGCATGAAATCACGCATGAATATAAAAAGACGGAAATCACATAATACTCAGCATAATTGGATCCACTATTACGTGATATCGCTAAATTTGTAATTGCTTTAATGTTGAAATAACTTAGTTTTGAATTCGATTTTACATGAGCCTCCTGCAAATTTTGTAGAGATTCAAGAATGCAAGATTATACATCCCAAAACGACTGAGATCAAATCTGTACATAATTCGGAAACCATGATCGATGTCAAAATGCGGTTTGTATGGGGCTATAGTTCATACTAGTAGCCATTAAACCTCAAAATTTGAGCTTATTCGGGTGAAAACTCACTGAGTTATTGCAATTTTTCGGTGACGAGTTGCACGAGCAAATAACCGTGGGTGCAGGATTTTCGAGTAATTAATTTCGAGTAATCTGCAGCGCGGCTCAGGAACAGTTCGTGAAATGAAAAATATATATACTCGAAAATCCTGTATGGCTATTTGCTCGTGCAACTTGTCACCAAAAAATTGCAATAACTCGGTGAGTTTTCAACCGAATGAGCTCAAATTTTGAGGTTTGATGGTTCATAGTATGAACTGCATTTAATACCTTTCTTAGTTTCCGAATTACAAACTTGGTCTCAGTTATTTTTGGACACCGTTTGTAGACTGGAATAAAATTCATGTCACCGCCGCGCCGCAGCGGTTATACCTGAAACAAAAAAGATTCCGCGGCGCGGAGGAGTTGTAATTTGTCGCGAACGACAGCTAGCCAAGAACAATAAACAGTTCGGACCCTTTTTCGTCCATTCAGTCAAAACCCTTACAGTGTTGCCATTCGTGTTTTTCACCCTTGAATATTTCTTTATTTTCCAATTGCCACCGTATCGTGCGGAAGAAAGTCGGTGATGTGCTAAGGGTTTGGCGCGGCGTGGCGGTGAGAGAGAGGGAGAGGGCTGCGAGAGGGGTGTTGTATATATAGTTCGAGAGTTCGATTCAGTTACTTTTTTCGGTGACCAGGCTAATGCAAAGATGCCGCATATGCCGCCACGCAATTGGCAGCGGTTTCGAAATATGCCACCCTTCAATTTACACATAGTAAGTTAAAAACACGAGTTGACCACTGACTGCTTTCACCTCGCCCCACACCCATATTCCCGCGCACTTCCTTTCACCCTCATGCCATCTTTAAAGCGCCACTTCAGGGTCACAAGTTTCCTGCAAATATTAAAGCAATGTTCAAGAGAGTTTTATTTCATAATTTTCTCATCTATTGAAAGCAGAGGGTACACCCACTGACCGCTTTGAGGTCCAACCCTTTGAGGCGCTTCGCGCATCGGGTGTACTTAATGCGTTACACGTTAATCTTAGAGTTAGATCAGTAACGACGATGTAAAATTGCAATACTCAATCAACATTTTCCAAATGTCCGCGCTATGAAAAGTATTGAAGGGATGAAGGGCAGTGCCTGCCCTTGCGATCCATTTGATCACCGTGTTGGAACATTCATACGCCTTTGTCTCCACGGGACGTTTCACGGGTTTTGTCCCAAGTTCGAATCGTAGGAATGAAACTTCTGGGCTTTTTTTCTCGTTAAACAACACAACATAAACTTCTTCTTTTTTAAAGTCGTTCTTGGGACTCCACAATGACTCTTAGGTGGAACTGTGATTCGTATTGACTAACTTCATATTTTTCCCTACTTCGGAAGTGAGATTTTTCCCTGAGACAAATCCCATGAAACGTACCGTGGAGACAAGGTCATGCGTAATGGACCCCCCCCCCCCCCAATACAAAAGAATTCGCATACCTAAGGCCCAAGTAGCATTTCTCAACGGAAAAATTGCTATATATTGCGGTTTCATCGGCGATAAAATCGACAGGATCATCAACATCTGAAGGATTATCCTTGATCTTATCGCGATAAAATCGCGGTATTTTCGAAATAAAAATCGCAATAAATGGCAATTTAATCTCGATTTAATCGAACCCAAAATTGCAATTTGTAGCGATTTAATCGCCATATATCGCAATTTTTAATGCGATAATATCTCGATATACTGTCACCGATATAATCGCGATAACCAACTGATAAAATCGCTATTTATCGCGATCACTGCTACTTGGGGAAGGGACTTTTGCCAAAAACCTTGTAACTTTCCTGGGGTGAGAAAGGCGATAAAACCTTTCTTCAGCAATATGATGAGGTCACCACTAAAAATACTGCATTACTGTATTCCAGACAGTTCAAATCAAGGTGGAAAATCGTCCGAGGGCGCGCTGCGGAAAATTTGAGAATTACCGGGTCCAGTTTTTTCGGGAACGGGCCTGTGGAGGGAATGCACCGTGGAGCCGATGCACAGGTGCAATCGATCCACAGGGCGTGGGCTCCACACACCACTTCTCTCTGATTTGGTGCGTGGGCTCCACGACCCGTGGATCCGATGCATCAGTTTTGGAAGGGGGTGAGTGCGTGGAGTCCACGCACCGTGGAGCGATCGCACCGTTACCGATTCATTGCAATATTATCGTGTAAAAAATAGCGATGAGTTTCGATCTCATCATATAAATTTGCAATGAAATCGCGATTTTACTCATACATAAATGTAGAAATTTTCCGTCAATCCACGCAGTCGTTTATAATCTACGTAAAATTTTGATGAAGAAAAATGTATCGCAAAGCTTAAGGTGATTTGATGGACGCCGTATTTTGTGTCAGAACGACATGCGATATACCGCATCTATTTGCTCCATTTTTTCAGATACTCGTCATTTTTGTCGAATTTTGAGATCGCAATTCTGTAGTCAGGAGACTAAAGAATTCACGCGCCAATTTCGAAAAATGTCGCACTCGATACTGATATCGAAACTACACTCAAATGCGATATTTTTCCTCTTAAAAAACCTACGCCTTTAGTACGTTGAATTTGTTTGTCAAAATTGGTAAGTGAATTCTTTAGTATCCTGACAACAGAATCGCGATCTCAAAATTCGTGAAAAATGATGAGTGGCTGAAAAAATGGAGACAATCGATGCGATATATCGCATGTCTCTCTCACAAAGAACATAGCGTCCATCGAATCACCTTAACTTCTAATCCTACTCAGCGGTTCATTGAATGTGCTCAAGGTTCTCAATACTATCGTTGGATACAACTGTTCTGCGAGTATGCGTGTTGCATAGCGAGAACTCGAAGGCGAAGTGGTGCGCATTGTCAGATCTCAATGATCCTCTTAATTTTCGATCACCGTGAGATTATAAAACTCGTTGTTTCGTCGGCAGGTGACAAAGAGGACCTCGACGAGGAGTTAGAGGCGACCGCACTGGAAGGATATCCGAACTTCGCAGTTTTGAACTGCCCAAAACCCTCGGGTGCAGCCTCCCAGTGGAGCAATCTGAAAGTTGACGACAACAAGGTCAACTCGGATACCCTGGGCCAGGATTCAATTGCTCCACCCAAGAAAAAACCTAAGATTGATTCGATCATGGAGTCAGCTTCCTCACCATCATTCATGCAGTCAGCTTCCTTACCGGTATGCCCTCTATGTCTTACGTACTCGTTATATTATACAACTTTTTTTCAATTGGACGTATTTCTATCAAACGGACCTAAGCGCCATAGGGTGAGGAAGGTAGAGGGGGGCTTGGATTGGCGGCGGAATCGAGCGTCCGGCTTATGCCGTCCTATACTCGCAATGCTTTTCCATGGCGCTTAGGTCCGTTTGAAAGAACGCGCTATCCGGGATTCTAAATTCCTCAAAGGGAACTCAAATTTGCGCTTTGTTCCGTTTGATAGAAATACGTCCAATTTAGAGATAGTTTTACGTGGAGAACATGGATTTAATGGAAAAATTATTTAAAAAAACGGTGTCAATTCGATCGACATAAATCGATCACAAAACTAAAACGTGAACCGAACGACGTCATTCGATAGACATCCGCGAATAGATTGGCAAATCCGGAAACGGTTCAAATTTTGTCGATCGCATCGATGTCGATCGGTTCACGTCAATATTTTCTATCAATTCGTGTCGATTGAATCCTCACCGGTTTTTCGTTAATTTGTCAATCGGCTCACGTCGATCAATTCATGTTTTTTTTTTTTTTTTTTTTTTTTTTTTTTTTTTTTTTTGATCGATTCATGTCGATCGAATCCATACCCTCGGTTTTACCTTTCGTTTACACTTTGAGGAGTTTCTAAAGGCCAAACGATAGCCTATTCTGCAGAGTACTTCCTCTAGTTTGTAAAAAAGGCTCTTGCTTGTAATCACTTTGCAGGTCTCATTACCAAGGTTATTCTGCTGAATTTTACTCCAGATTTGTTAAACTATTCCTTTTTATAATACTATGTTAGGGATCTCCTGAAATTTATTTCAGCCACTGCGTAAACCATATACCCTCCTGAAGAAAGGAGCAAGTGGGCTCCTGGTTTCTTCCACCTTGCTTTCATTCGAGTTACACGTTTAGTAGCCAGTGCAAATATGTGTTTCCCTCACTTATAAAAGCAAGGTGGAAAAAACCAAGGGTGTTACCACAATGGTGGATGTCGTCATGAACCGAATTTTTTAAAGCGCGATACCTCCGTCAATATATAACGTTGAAAGTACACTGAAGAAAATGGTTATGTAGTGAGAGTCCATACTGCTTGGAAAATCCAAGGTATGAACTGTCCGTACTTACGGTCTGGCTTTCACAACTAGAACAGAGATGTGTCGTAAACGTGTCGTGTATGGAAAAGCATATGTATGAACTTACCGTTCTTACGGTATGGACGCTGGATCCATACGGTATAGACGCTGGATCCATACGATATAGACGCTGGGTCCATACGGTATAGACGCTGGGTTCATACGGTATAGACGCTAGGTCCATACGGTATAGAGGATGTGTCCATACGGTATAGACGCTGGGTCCGCACGGTATGAACTCAGGGTACATACTCTTCGTATGTAATATTTGTTCATACTAAAATGGACTCTATCTCTATTCATAGGCTGGCATCAAATTTTTCACAATCTGTATGTGGCCGCGACCCATAATTTATGCAGCGTGAGTGCACTGGGGGAAAAAACACATTGGATCTAGAGTCCAGACTCTTAAAAACATCGACAAGAAAAAATACTCTTGATACCATTGGATTTTTACTCAAACTAAGAACCAAGCCTCTTAATTTGAGTGGATTTCCTTTTGATTTAAGCGAAAATCTGATTGAATCAATAGTATTTTTTCTTGTCAATGTTTTCAAGAGTCTGGACTCTAGATCCAATGTGTTTTTTTTCCTGTGTGCATACACTTTTTTCAGTGTAGCTGTTAGGACGGATTTTAATATTTTTAGCTAATGTACAAGAATCAAGCATCAAAATACGTTTCCGTGACTCGTTCGGGTCGGACTTATGTGTTGCAGAGTGAGTTCCTGTCGACGACGGAGGAGTTTCGACGACTGGCCAAGGTGAGGGCGGGAGCGGCGGCGGCCGAGCTCAAACTCGAGCTCCAGCAGAACAGACAACGACACATCGCCGAGCTCCGGGTCCTCGAGCTCAAAGCCAAGGCGCAACAGGCCAAAATCGAGTACTACAACCTCCTCAAACAGCGGCTCATCAGTCAAACCGATTGAAAAATCAGCCTACTCATGCCATCGTCAATGGGTCTGCGCACTCAGATTAGCGCAACCAGATTAGCTGTAAGAAAGATGTAAGAAAATCAATCCAACTTAAGTAACGGGTTTAACCGTTACGTAACGAGAAAACCGCAAAAAATTTGATAGGTAATTCTACAGTAATTTTGAGCGCGTTTCTATGTGCGCCAGAAAATGCATGACAGACTCTTTTTATGTTCTCACTGTAATTTTTTTTTTCGGACTTCTTTACTTTCAAAAAGTCCATTTGTTAATGTGCATCTCTCGGAACAGACCTGTCTTTCAGCGATCCCAAAGTCTCCTTCTTGAACTTTTAAAGGGAAACTATAGTAATTCTCTTAAACGTTCCAACATATTATAATATTATTTGATGTAATTATCCTTACCAAAAAACTAATTAAATTAAAAATTTCTTTCGAAGCACTGTCTAGCATAATAATTTGATTCTCTTAAAATGAACCGCTGGAGATGATGAAAATTGAAATATTACAATACAAGCAAATTTAAAATTTCACGTCGCACAAGTTAAATACATCAACAATTCCCGAAGTTTACTCACAGGTGAAACATTACTTTCGTGAAAATCGGTCAATTTAAACTGATTACGCAGAAAAAGTATAATGAAATGGTAACGCATTGTTCAATGCACAAGCTTTTTGCCAAGCACACCTCTCGTCCTCTCGTGTTGTGACTTCCAGTCCACTCGCAGAAGTGTCAGTTTCACGAATGAGCGAATAAGTGTAAGGCGCTTGGATACAACTATTCGTACTCGAAGGATGTCGGCGTTGCATATTCGAAAATTGAAGGCGCACTGGTTTTCTTCTTGCTCGCAGCACAACTGAGAAGCGCGCATAGGTTATCTGCCGTGCTAAGGAAAAACGCCGTATGAACATTCGAGGGTTGGCAACTTTCCTCTCATAAAATGTTCACTTTTGAGGAGAAATATTAATATTTTTCCTTGATATTTTTAGGAACTATAGGGGAAATTGCGAATAAAATTATCTGAAAAATTGGAAGCGAAATATTCATAAGTTTACCGGGAAATTCGCGTGTTACACTGAAAAAAAGAAAACTTATTGAATCTAGAGTCCAGACTCTTGAAGAAATTGACAAGAAAAAATACTCTTGATTCAATCGGATTTTTGCTTGAATCAAAACGGAATCCGCTTAAATTAAAAGGCTTGGTTCTCGATTTAAGCTAGACTCTGATTGAATCAAGAGTACTTTTTCTTGTCGATGTTTTTAAGAGTCTGGACTCTAGATCTAATGTGTTTTTATCCAGTGTATCAAAGAAAATTTGGCAAAGCCTGAAGGTTCATACGGCGTTTTTCCTTAGCACGGCAGTTTCGTCGAGAGGAGTTTTCTGAGAGGAGCAACACCTTTCCAAGCTCTGGCAAAAGTTTGCGACAAACCGACCGTCAGGGATCTAAGGGCGCGAGAGGGAGGGCCACCACCGCCACCCTCGGATCCCTTCATCGAGGTCCGATCCGACACCGGCGCACAGTGCGGAATATCCATCAGCGGCGTGGACAAAAATCAAAGGCGCAGTAAAAGTAGACATACGAATTAGATATCCAATTAAGCCCCACTGGACCGAATGAGAAAACGAGAGCAGCAATTTGAATTGTTCATCCGCCTGGTGCCCACTTTCCGGGGCCTGTATGGAAAACATCGCGGAGTTCAATTTTCATCAAAAATATCTCGAAAACAAGGAAAAATGTATACGTCGGAGATTTTAGAAATCAACTTTCCAGGTTTTTCTGAAGAGATTAATGGGTAATAAAAATACACTTTTTTCTCAAACGCGCCGAACAGTTAGACGGTTTAGACCTAGAAATGTGTTTTTCCATGACACCAAATATCATAATTCAAGTAAAAAAAGCAAAATTATAGGTCTAAATATCTCGAGAACATGGAAGAATTTACCTGTTGGAGAGTTCAGAAATCAATTCTCCGAATTTTTCCGAAGAGATTGATGAGTAAAACATGACGCATTGTTATCAGAAACACCGAACAGGTCGACCTTGAAATTTGTTTTTTTCACCTTGGAATATGACACTTAGTGTCATGAAAAAAAATTCTCGGTCCGGCTGTTCGATGTGTTTGAGAAAAAAGTACGGATCTCTTCAGAAAAATCTGGAGAGGTGATTTCCGAATTCTCCGACTTGTAAATTTTTCCTTGGTTTCGAGATATTTTCGATAAAAATTGGACATATATGTATTTCTGTCAAACGGAACTATATACATAAAGGCATGAGTCCTGAGCCCCATAAGGATATGAGCGTAACAGGGCTCACGTCATAATGCACATAGTTCCGTTTGATAGAAATACGTCCAATTGTACCTCGTGTTACTCTCCATAAGGGCCCCAGAAAGTGGGCAGCAGGCGGATCAGCCAATCAGAGACGACTCGTAAAAGTAGGTAAAGCCACTCGGACCGCAATGGAGATGTTGCATGTGTGAGGAATTTGCGATTTGACTGTTGATTCTTACGTAAAAGTTTGCGAGAAACACGATGGTGCCACTGGCTTTATCTGAAATCAACTCCCAAGCTCAAAAAAAGCTCTCAAGTTGAGGCCAAAATGGAGGGGATATCCCACGCTATCCTGAGAGTCCACCTCTACATCAAGACAAACTCTCCATGTAAAGATAGGGAGCAAATACATTAGCAGAGTTGCCGTGTTTTCAGTTTTGGAGTCCCCATAAAGTGGCTGCTCTATCAATGTATTTGCTCCCTACCTTTAAATGGAGAGTTTGTCTTGATGTAGAGGTGGACTCTCAGGATAGCGTGGGATATCCCCTCCATTTTGGCCTCAACTTGAGAGCTTTTTTTGAGCTTGGGAGTTGATTTCAGATAACACCAGTGGCACCATCGTGTTTCTCGCGAACTTTCACGTAAGAATCAACAGTCAAATCGCAAATTCCTCACACATGCAGCATCTCCATTCCAGTGGCGTGGCGTGAATGATCGATTATCGATATCTCGCCATTTGAAGCTATGGTAAAGAATCGATTAATAAGGTGTTCGCTGCGAACACCCTGATAATCGATCTTTTTTCATAGGTTTGAGTGGCGTATCAATCAATATATCGCAAAGCACGCCACGCCACTGCTCCATTCAAATTGCTGCTCTTGTTTTCTCATAGTTCTGCACTGTGCGGCGGGCAGGGCGATCGATTTTTTAACGGTCGCCGGAGTCAGAGCCAGGCTGGCGAAAAATCGATGGTCCATCGTCCCGCGAGGCCGCGTGCCTGGGGACGTTCAGGGCTCAGGGCCACGCGCCGCCGGGGCCGAATTCCGCGTGGCGAAGCGCGGCTCAGCGCTTTCCCACGTTTTCAAACGGCTCCCCTAAGCCGAACCCACGCATCCGCCCGCGGTTTCCGCGGGGAGTTGCGCGGTTCCTGCCCAGGAGGGCGCCAAATCCCTCAAGTCCCGTCAACGACTGTTAACGAGTCCCGTCGTCGGGATGAATGGAGCGTCTCGTGCCGATGCGCGTGCGTGACGCTTTGCAAGTGTCGTCATGCTCTCCTTCCATTCCTAAGCTCCCGACTCTCGGGGGGCTTAATCTCGGCGTTGCATTTCATCATATGTGACATTTTTAACGGACAAATTGCGATGTTTTGGGATTAAGTTGCGATTTTTTTACGAGCTTTTAGCTATAAAATCGAGAGCAATCGGAATACAGCCAAAAAAAAATTATAAAAATTTAATTTAAGTAAAGATGATAATCTTTTACCTTTTGTATCAGGGTTAATTAACAATAAAAAAGAGTTAAAAAAAATTAGCCCATAATATTAATTGAAGGGGGTATTGGAGAATTTCCTATACATATAAAAAATCATATCACTATCGCTGTAGGGGTTATTGAAAATATTCTCTTGTTAATAATGATCCTTCGAGACTTAGAATTTTTATAGATAATNAAAAAAAAAAAAAAAAAAAAAAAAAAACACATTGGATCTAGAGCCCAGACTCTTAAAAACGCCGACAAGAAAAAATACTCTTGATTCAATCGGATTTAAGCTTAAATCAAGAAGCAGGCCTCTTAATTTGAGCGGATTTCTTTTTGATTTAAGCTTAAATCTGATTGAATCAAGGGTCCTTTTTCTTGTCAATGTTTTCAAGAGTCTGGACTCTGGATCCAATGTGTTTTTTTTTTTTTTTTTCCAGTGCGTATTTCTATCAAACGGAACTGTGTGCATTATGACGTGAGCCCTTTCATGCACATATTCCAATGGGTCTAAGGGCTCATGTCTTAATGCACATAGTTCCGTTTGATAGAAATACGTTCATTTGATCGAATATCCTCGATCTGATCGCAATTTTATTTCTATAAAATCGCATTGGATAAAATCATAATTTTAATTATATGATACACACTTTACAAATGGCCGGCGCGGCTCTTTCGGTCTCGTGTAGCATTTTTCAACGGATAAATCGTAATATTTTGAGATCAAGTTGCGATTTTTTTACGATTTTTTGGCGATAAAATCGCGAGGATCATCAACATTTGGACGTATTTCTATCAAACGAAACTATGTGCATTATGACGTGAGCCCTTTCATGCATATATTCCTATGGGTCTCAGGGCTCATATCTTATGCACATAGTTCCGTTTGATAGAAATACGTCCATTTGATCGAAAATCCTCGGTCTGGTTGCAATTTTATTTCTATAAAATCGAAATTTTAATTATATGATGCACACTTTACAAATGGCCGGCGCGGCTGTTTCGGTCCCATGGAGCATTTTTCAACGGATAAATCGCAATATTTTGAGATTAAGTTGCGATTTTTTGGCAATAAAATCGCTAGAATCATCAAAATTTGAGCGAATATATTTAGGTAAGCACAGTTCATATTCTTTTATTATATTTCTTACCACTCGTTTGTTTTAATCCTCCTATAAAAACTACTCATTTGCAAAATACAATTCTAGCTGCGAGGTACTTCAGCCATGCATTCACCACTGCAAAAATGTCAAAATAAATCGACCAGTCCAGCGTGCATGGAGGCTATTTCCATGTTTATCTTCCGTCACATTCTTCACACTGTGGTATTGGACCTGAAAAGCTGGCCAAAACTATTTATCACCAGATATCGCCGAGTTTTAAAAATATTTTACAATCAGTACTTCTTCTTAAGTGATAATATGCACAATTTATCCACCTAACACATCATATGACAATTTGCGGAGAGTTTAAAGAGGATGGAAGAAGCCCTCCAAAAAGCCTTTAAAAGGACGCAAAGTATCTGACTAAAGCGGTGCATTTAGACGAGTTTCTCCTTCATCTGTGGTCCACTTTTCGAAATAAGGACTCTCTATGACCTCATTAATGGTTTTTTTATGAAACAGCGTAAGTCCTTTCAAAATTTTTGACGAAACAGCCGATCTCTCACATTGAGGAGTAAATGTACATT